AAAGAACGTGCATGTTTGTACTGTATCCCTGCCCAAGAATGGCCTGCCATTTCCCTTTATACTTGGTCTATCTCATCCTTCATCTTTGTGACGTTTCAACTCAAATTCAAATTGGTTCCATTTTTCAGTCCATCTACAGGGAGTGCAGAATTATTAGGCAAGTCGTATTTTTGATGAATAATTTTATTATTGAACAACAACCATGTTCTCAACGAATCCAAAAAACTCATTAATATCAAAGCTGAATGTTTTTGGAAGTAGTTTTTACAGGTGCTGGCCAGTAAATTAGAATATCATCAAAAGGTTGAAAATATTTCAGTAATTCCATTAAAAACGTGAAACTTGTACATTATATTCATGCAATGCACACAGACCAATGTATTTCCAATGTTCATTACATTTAAATTTGATATTCATAAGTGACAACTGATGAAAACTCCAAATTTGGTATCTCAAAAAATTAGAATATTCTGAAAAGGCTGAATATAGAAGACACCTGCTGCCACTCTAATCAGCTGATTTACTCAAAACACCTGCAAAGGCCTTTAAAAGGTCCCTCAGTCTTGTTTTGAAGGCACCACAATCATGGGGAAGACTTCTGACTTAACAGCTGTCCAAAAGACAATCATTGACACCTTGCACAAGGAGGGCAAGACACAAAAGGTGATTGCTAAAGAAGCTGGCTGTTCGCAGAGCTCTGTGTCCAAGCACATTAACAGACAGGCGAAGGGACGGAAAAAATGTGGTAGAAAAAAGTGTACAAGCTCTAGGGATAACCGCACCCTGCAGAGAATTGTGACGACAAACCCATTCAAAAATGTGGGGGAGATCCACAAAGAGTGGACTGCAGCTGGAGTCAGCGCTTCAAGAACCACCACGAGGAGACTCATGAAAGACATGGGATTCAGGTGTCGCATTCCGTGTGTCAAGCCACTCTTGAACAAGAAACAGCGCAAGAAGCGTCTCGCCTGGGCCAAGGACAAAAAGGACTGGACTGATGCTGAGTGGTCCAAAGTTATGTTTTCTGATGAAAGCAAGTTCTGCATTTCCTTTGGAAATCAAGGACCCAGAGTCTGGAGGAAGAGCGGAGAAGCACAGAATCCACGTTGCATGAGGTCCAGTGTAAAGTTTCCACCGTCAGTGATGGTGTGGGGTGCCATGTCATCTGCCGGTGTTGGCCCACTCTGTTTCCTGAGGTCCAGGGTCAATGCAGCCGTCTACCAGGAAGTTTTAGAGCACTTCATGCTTCCTGCTGCTGACCAACTTTATGGGGATGCAGACTTCACCTTTCAACAGGACTTGGCACCTGCACACAGTGCCAAAACCACCAGCACCTGGTTCAAGGACCATGGTATCCCTGTCCTTGATTGGCCAGCAAACTCGCCTGACCTTAACCCCATAGAAAATCTATGGGGTATTGTGAAGCGGAGGATGCAATACGCTAGACCCAACAATGCAGAGGAGCTGAAGACGACTATCAGAGCAACCTGGGCTCTCATAACACCTGAGCAGTGCCACAGACTGATCGAGTCCATGCCACGCCACATTACTGCAGTTATTGAGGCAAAAGGAGCCCCGACTAAGTATTGAGTGCTATACATGCACATTCTTTTCATGTTCATTCTTTTCAGTTGGCCAACATTAGAGTAACAAACATTTTTTCATTGGCCTTTAGAATATTCAAATTTTCTGAGATACCAGATTTGATGTTTTCATTGGTTGTCACCTATAAATATCAAAATTAAACGTAATAAACATCGGAAATACATTGGTCTGTGTGCATTGCATGAATATAATGTACAAGTTTCACGTTTTGAATGGAATTACTGAAATATTTTCAACCTTTTGATGATATTCTAATTTACTGGCCAGCACCTGTAGTTTTAGCAATTTTAGGGGGATATCTGTATGTGCAGGTGACTATTACTGTGCATAAATATTAGGCAACTTAACAAAAAACAAATATATACCCATTTCATTTATTTATTTTTACCAGTGAAACCAATATAACATCTCCACATTCCCAAATATACATTTCTGACATTCAAAAACAATACAAAAACAAATCAACGACCAATATAGCCACCTTTCTTTGCAAGGACACTCAAAAGCCTGCCATCCATGGATTCGGTCAGTGTTTTGATCTGGTCACCATCAACATTGCGTGCAGCAGCAACCACAGCCTCCCAGACACTGTTCAGAGAGGTGTACTGTTTTCCCTCCTTGTAAATCTCACATTTGATGATGGACCACAGGTTCTCAATGGGGTTCAGATCAGGTGAACAAGGAGGCCATGTCATTCGTTTTTCTTCTTTTATACCCTTTCTTGCCAGCCACGTTGTGGAGTGCTTGGACGCGTGTGATGGAGCATTGTCCTGCATGAAAATCATGTTTTTCTTGAAGGATGCAGACTTCTTCCTGTACCACTGCTTGAAGAAGGTGTCTTCCAGAAACTGGCAGTAGGACTGGGAGTTGAGCTCGACTCCATCCTCAACCCGAAAAGGCCCCACAAGCTCATCTTTGATGATACCAGCCCAAACCAGTACTCCACCTCCACCTTGCTGGCGTCTGAGTCGGACTGGAGCTCTCTGCCCTTTACCAATCCAGCCACGGGCCCATCAAGACTCACTCTCATTTCATCAGTCCATAAAACCTTAGAAAAATCAGTCTTGAGATATTTCTTGGCCCAGTCTTGACGTTTCAGCTTGTGTGTCTTGTTCAGTGGTGGTCGTCTTTCAGTCTTTCTTACCCTGGCCATGTCTCTGAGTATTGCACACCTTGTGCTTTTGGGCACTCCAATGATGTTGCAGCTCTGAAATGTGGCCAAACTGGTGGCAAGTGGCATCTTGGCAGCTGCACGCTTGACTTTTCTCAGTTCATGGGCAGTTATTTTGCGCCTTGGTTTGTCCACACGCTTCTTGCGACCCTGTTGACTATTTTGAATGAAACGCTTGATTGTTCGATGATCACGCTTCAGAAGCTTTGCAATTTTAAGACTGCTGCATCCCTCTGCAAGATATCTCACTATTTTTGACTTTTCTGAGCCTGTCAAGTCCTTCTTTTGACCCATTTTGCCAAAGGAAAGGAAGTTGCCTAATAATTATGCACACCTGATCTAGGGTGTTGATGTCATTAGACCACACCCCTTCTCATTACAGAGATGCACATCACCTAATATGCTTAATTGGTAGTAGGCTTTCGAGCCTATACAGCTTGGAGTAAGACAACATGCATGAAGAGGATGATGTGGACAAAATACTCATTTGCCTAATAATTCTGCACTCCCTGTATATTCAAAATAGAGCAAGTTGAAATTCTCCTGTCTAAAATGAATGCAAAAAGAAAACAATAACAAATAAAATCAGAGTAATGCATAAAATTATAATTTGCTGAACATTTTAAAGGGAGTCTCAGCAGTTTTGACTTGCTTTTAGCACCCCCTAGTGTCCGTTTAGTGAAACCAAAAATGAAACTTACCTCTTTGCTGTGCATTTGTCTTTTTAACACCTCAATCTAACTGCTGAAATGTCTCCTCAACCTGTTGTTAGTGTCTGCAGGAGCAGTTTGTCACTAAATCTAACAAATCAGCTGTTCGTGTATTAAAACCTGCAGGAAACATGCTGGAAGCTGACTCCAGCGCTGGTATGTCAGTCCAACAGGAGGCGGCCCACCACTCTGAAGTTGCAAGTGTGATATTCTGTCCACAGGGGGTGGTGGGGTCTGGGTGACATTAAAGGGTCATTTTAGCACGTAATAGCTCAAGAAAATGATTTGAAAAAAATGAACTTTTTGTATAGTATGACTTTAAATATCATAAGACTGTATGAGAAAATAAAATTTGGACAGATAATTAGGCACATTCTGGTTGTTGTTTGAATGGAAATGTGTCATCATTCAGTCAGTGTGAGGTTAAACAGCTCAATTTGGATGCGGAGGACCTATCCTCTGTACTGAGGACTTCCCCACGGAGATCAAATTAAATTATTTTGCAAAACCTAAATTCTGCATCTGCTGAATATTGTGACTGAAAGCTGGGATGTTGTGAATTCAGTGAAAAATTATCAAATCAAATCATAAAACTGAACTATTTGTTCATCACTCTGAACTTTTTCCCTTTAAGTATTTAGAGAAAACAGGAGAGTGGAACATCTGCAGCCTTGTTCACTTAAGCTACAATCAGAAGCATGTTACTTGTGTCCCTTTCATTCTGTTGGCAATTAAAGAATACATGGTTTCATGCCTCACATACTACTTACTGCATTGCATCAATAATAAAAATTATAATTGCAAATGCATGTATAAAAATGTCTAGTATGAGAATTATAGGTCTATCTGTTTTCTTAGGGCTGCAAAAATGAATAATGCATTTTCTCTAAGGCGCCTCAAACGGTCTCTCCTGTAGGATTGTTGAAGCTACCTGTGCAGGAAAAAACATCTGGTGGCATTTCTCTTTCTTCATCATCTCTGTTGCTGATAGTCTCAAACAAGAATGTTATTCTTTTGGAATGAACGACAAAGTTTGCAAAATCACAATGACTTTACCTGACTTCTAAATCAGACTTTCATTGATGCTGGTGTAGTAGATTGAGGAGCAGGTTGCAAACATTTCTTTGACAAGAACACTGCAATCAAAGCTCAAGTAAACTAACAGGATGTTTTCATTGATGGTGTTCACAGCATGATGCAGAGCTGCCTGATTTATGCCTGATTTACCTGCTCCGCTAAAAGCTGCCACTCCAACTGATTTTCAACCCAAGGAATATGTTTCCATAAATAATTCACAAGTATATCTAGAGATCAGAGTGAATTTATCACAGGAGATCAGAGTGAATGCTTTAGTAGCCTGTGTTTGGTGTGATCATTAAGATCACAACTCAAGTATCAAGCACACTGAAGCTCAAACCAGTGTAAGGTCAGAGACGATCCCCAGTTGTCCTGATTCAGGACATGTTACAGGTCCTAACTTACAGTTGTTTTTTATGCTCTCCTTCCTTGTGCAGAAAGCCCGCTTGGCCAGGATACGACTATCAAAAACAGGAAGTTCAAATGCTTTCCTCCACAGCAAGCGCAACGGCCTGTTCAATGAAGCTCTGGAGCTCACGGTGAGTCTCGTCTCAGCAGCACATGAATAATTGTTCCACAGAATACCAAGCCACTCAGGACATACTTAAATTTGTACATATTTTAACTAATGACTCCTAAAGCCTGACCTGTGCTCTAACTGAATTTCTAGATGCGTGCCTCGGTCGTCTATTCATTAATTACCCCAGCATCCCATCAGAGCTGCTGCTTCTCATTTGGTAAGCAGCATATTTAATGTGAGCATCTCTGAGCCCAGCCACCCAGCTGAGGAACAAGCTTCAGGCAAAGCAGCGAGAAATGTAAACACAACACAAGGATGTTCCTTGCTTCACCAAAAATCTTGCGGTTTACAAGCAGCATTGTGGCCCCAGGGCGTGCAAATAGCACAAAAACAAGTGTTTGTTCCTCCCTCTTGCTCACTCTTCAAGTGTCTTCATTGCAGCATCTCTCCTGTGCAGCTGTGCTGAAGACACGATCAGAATGACCTCGGTAGGGCTCAAGCTTTGACTGAATAATACAACGCATTTGTAAGAATGCCTGAAGAGAGCATTAGCTTTGAAGCATTGTAGTGTTGGTTGCTGTGGTTTTATTAAATATAAGCAAAGTTTCACAGACAGTAGCGGTTTTAGGCACGGGCAGACAGGGCAGTTGCCCGGGGCGGCATTTTTTCATGACACAAAAGGGGCGCATAAGCACTGAGTAAAAAATAAAAAATAAAGAAATCTGCGCCGCACCGAGGTTTTCTATTATCTGTCATATCACAGTGTCTGGATTGGAAACAGCAAGTTGGCGCCCCCTGCAGCTGCAGGCGCTCCTGCTGACTGAGAGGGTGTGTAAGAATAAGAGGAAAGGGAGGGGTGCGGCAGGGGAATTCACCTCTGGGTCTTTCCCAAATGAAATGAGCGGGTAGGGGCTGAATCAACTGTATTAACATGGCTAAAGTAAATCACATCTTGATGTTCTTCCATTTAACGCACATTTCATTCATAATATCATAAACACAGGCCTATCGTTCTTTCAGGTTTTTCTGAATTGTGTGAAATGGCCGAATAAAAAAAGGAAAAACAAAACGATTTTGTGGTCACCCCATCAAGGTCAAATTGTTTAGTCCTGACTAAAGGAAACTTATTGAGTCAAGAGCCAAACAGAAGAGATGAACATAAAAAGGCTAAAACCACCAGGTTCCCGATACAGGAAAAAAAAAAAAGAGGAGAAAGATAAAGGTATGTACGCTCTCATGATGCATGTTTTCAATTTTTTGAACCAGTTAACTGGGATTTTAACGGTTAAATTCGGCCAACTAATTGCTAACAGAGCTAATAGGGCTGAAATATTGAAACAAATATTCAAATGGTTCGAAAAAATTCCTTGAATCGTTTTTTACTGATTCAAACTAGGATTTATTAAATGCTCGCTGCAGCCTGTGGCCTGCCTGAACAACAACAAACACATGATGATCATGTTCACATAATAATAAATAAAACAACTGTACAAGCAGAAGAAAACTGCCCAGTCACCACTAACTATCCTGTTTATTTATTGCAGATGGCTGCACTGATTATTTTTTACATGATTTGTTCTGTAAAAGTTGGCATTTTTGGTAGTCTACAGTTTTTTTATGTCAGTTTAAATTACAATTTCAGGGGCAATTTCAAAAATATAAAGATCTATTGGAGATCTACCCCAACCTTTGGACTGCTCTGCCAGTCACTGTGGCTCAAGCTGAGAGGAGCTTTTAGTCATACCTGAGGTCACCTATGTTTCAGGGGTGGCTCACTAACCTGGCTCTGATTAGTATCAATCACTCAGTAGGGGAGCAGATTTCATATGATGACATTATTGATGACGTTGCATCAAGGTTAGGTTTTAATTTTAGTTTGTGTTTTCTATTCTAAGTGCAATGCTGTAGTGATTATCTTTAGTTTGTTATTTGTGAAATATTTTTGCTATTTAGAGTATTTATTATATATTATGTTCATATATTCTTAATATTTAGTTATTTGTTTTTGTATATTTGATTCTATATTTTTGATACAGTATATAATGTATATTGCTGTACATTCTGACAGCTTGATAGTAATTAATGTAAATATGTGCAACTTAGAAAAATGAATGTTCAATATTCGTTCTAATAAAACATGCCTGTCTGTAGAAAACATGCGTGTGTTCGTGCAGGTGGGGTGGTGGTGGTGGTGGTGGGGGCGGGCTCAAAGGGGGCCTTGCCCGGGGAGTAATTCCATGTAGAACCGCCACTGTTCACAGGTACAGTTAGCCTTCGCAGCAAATACTAACAAACTTTATCTGCTGAAGGTTTTAAAAGAGAAAAGTTTTATAAATTACAAGCAAACAATTATTATACTTTATTTTATTTAGTTCTCAGAGTCTCTAGTGTCTGAGCTTATTGTTTACAACACTTTGTGTCCTCTGAGAGTTTTTTCTTTTTTTATTTAGTTACTTAAAGAGCAAGTCACCCCCTTCCAGAGTGAAACTCCACTCCCACTTCCTGTTTGAAAAACGCACCACAAGGAGGCATTGCCATGCAGACCGAGAGGGCGGAGCCAATAACAAATACACACACTGGCTCACAGTGACATCATATGGTACCAGCTAACATCACAGGGTACCTCTTAGCCAATAGTGATGGCAGATTTAAATTCAAATGTAGTGCAGAGTTTTTACCTGAAGAGGGTGCATCACTGACAGTTTTAGGCAGAATATTAAAATTTTAACTAAGATGCACTAAAGTGCCAAATTATTGACTACATGTGTCTACTGCACAATTAGACACTCATTTATATAGTTTATCAGTAAAAAGGGTTGATTCGGGGGTGACTTGCTGTTGAAAAATCTTGAAATTAGAGAATAACAGTAAATGTGAAAACAAGTAGACGCTGTCAAAATTGTATTAGCTATATATCTGAATATCTTAATATCTGGTTGTAATTGACAACAACAAAGGAGATAAGGTGTAACTTTTATATGATGATCTGACTTGCCATACCTCCTGCAATAAGGAGCTTTTTGGTATTAGGAAGGATGTGTTTTTGCAATAAATATGGTTTGTGTTGTGGGTGGCTGAAGTAAAACAGTGGAAAAAATTGTCTGTAGTAAAAAAAAATATTTTTTATTATAACCCTTATTTAACAGTTAACATTTGTCCTAAAACTAATTAGAAAATAAAATCCCAAAAAATACATGTCTTGGGCATTTTATGGCCCAATGATTTGCCCCACTTTTGCCTTCATCGTAAGGGCAGCGTAAGGATGGCCCTCACTGTAATGGGCAGACTGTGGCTGGTCTGTGTGTGAAAGTTTAATAAATGTTAATTGCTGTCAAATGTTTAATTGTAAGGAAGGTTTTTACCAACAGTCTTCCAGCATCACGCAGAGCAACACATTGTGTTTTGTCACCCGGCAGATCAAGCTGTTTCCACTCGGCAGCATGGTGGCCACCTGGGTAGAGAGCCAGTCGCCTCCAGATAGACTGCTGACATGCGCCTGTAGTCACATGTATATAGAGAGGGACAGAAATAGCTCAGCCTTAAACACCTGTGTTGTACTGCCGCGTTAGCTGCAGATAAGCAGTGAGAACACAGGTGAGCAGAGGAAAACTGAGTCATCATCACTTAGAATGCAACAGCAGAGGCCTCTGTTGTGAACAGCAGCCACGTGCTTTAGCAAACACAAAACTGTTACTATAGTTGTTCCAAACGTGGCTTTTCGCGCTCCTCTCAGTCAAGCACACAGGGTGATGGCTTTACGCTTTTATCTCTAAACCACTCAAAGGCTCTTCTGGAGAGGAATGATGCAACCTATTGAAAGTTTAGACTGTAGCTGAAGCACTGCGGTGACAAGATCATCAAACTATAACCTGCAGAAGATGTTTTAAAGAAAGTTTGATCAATTGTGGGTTTTTTTTTTATTTCTACATGCATTGACTGAAATTTAAAATAATGACATGATTTTACTTTTTTTTTGTGCTTGTGGTAATACAGTAGCACATTTTTGACCAATAGTTTACTTTTTATTAAAAATGTCAACAAATTGGATGCTGAGATTTAACCACAAAGTGATTATTTTTCTCCCCTCACCTCCTCCTCTGTTTCTCTGAGTCACTTCAGCACTGCCCAAAAATTACTCTGAACCACGGCAGAATTAGAAGTAGCACCCACCGGTTCAGGCAACGCTGCGACACAAAAATACCCACATAAACGTCAGCACAAGGTGTAAAGGATACGGAATATGGTAAACAAGTCATTAGCGAGTTGCCTTAAGCGTGCTTTTGCTGCAGCAGACAAGCAGCCAAAATGTCACAATGTAAATTTTTCATATGAACTGTACTGAATATCTATTAGGTGTGAGGTATGCTAGAAGCTCCCCTTCCCCAGAGAGATCAGTGCATCAGCCCCACTGATCTTAGAAGAAATGTGTCTCCGGGTAAATATTTCCCATTTCTGACTGGTATGAGTGCAGCTTTGAAAGCTGTCTGTTCTCAGCACTGAACACGAGTAACACTCCATCTGTTTGTTCTCCTTTTGTCTCCTTCTCCATCTCAAGCAACTTCCATACAAGATGAACCTTTCAGATCAGGTACTGAGACAGTCGTTGGCAGCACACCTCCCACATCACCTGAAGCGTCTTCAGGAGGAAGCGAGAGAGTGGGGTTTCATTCTGTGTGTGTGTGTGTGTGTGTGTGTGTGTGTGTGTGTGTGTGTGTGTGTGTGTGTGTGTGTGTGTGTGTGTGTGTGTGTGTGTGTGTGTGTGTGTGTGTGTGTGTGTGTGTGTGTGTGTGTGTGTGTTTCAGGGTTCCAATGAAGAGGAGCATCGTTTAAGAAAATCAACCTCTCTAATAGAAAGTCAGCACCACCACCTGCTGCACTGTTTGGAGAAAACCACCGTGAGTAGAAACAAGCATTTTGTGTATTTTTAGGGACTGTTACTTTTACGAAACCACCATAAAATCCCATTTTTGGGGATCTAAAATGAATAAGTGTAAATACTTTAGACTTATTTTTGTATTCATAGGATAGGATACGATTATACTCACGCTTACATTACTGAGGAGCTGCTGTATTTAGTTTATTTTTTTATATGTCTCACAATGAATATTCTCTTTTTGATTTTATTTATTTATTTTTTACAAATGTGTTCATTAAAATCACTTACGAGACCATCACTGAAATACTTGAAGTTGTAGCCACCTTATGCCTAGTCCCCATGAGCCCTTGCACGAAACATGCGACCAGCTTCCGGTCATGGTGACCATAGATGGATGATGTCATCCATTTGTTCTAATCCACTTTTTACAGGTGTTTTAGAGACCTAAACTAAGTGGGAATTTACTCAAACACTGCTCAAATGAGACAATGTTACAATCACTCTACCTTGTGCAATAGAACGATGGGAGGATGATATGAAAATCTGGCCAGAGCTGACATACAGTAACATTTTTAGCTACTTCCTTTACTCGATAGCGCCCAACAGACAGGCAGTGAAATGTTCAAATAAACTCTTACAAGAAACGAAACCTCACTTTGCAAGCTGATGGCTACGTGTCACTAAAGGAAAAAGGTGGATACATTTCCAAGTTTTCAAGCTCAAAGGCTATTAAATGCTTTAATAACATTGCTACTTTTCTCTTAATTTTTTTAACCTTTTTTGTTTTTGCTTCACAAGTTGTTTTTTTTGTTTTAAATGTACAATACATTTGTACTATAAAAGGATGAAGGAAATATGAAATTAGAGTACTGAATGTTTTTTTATTCTGATTATAATTCACAATGGGCTCTCAAACATTGTGAGACATGAGGCAAAAAGATAAAAACATCAGAATATAGCAAATAACAATAATAATAATAACAATAACAAGAAGAAGAAGAAGTCATTCACCAGAGTTTAGGATTTAGAACATTTTTTGTAAAGTTGAAGCCATTTAGGTCAAATAATTCAGTTTAACAGTAAATGTTCCTTGTGAAATCTCTTTTTTAAGGAATGTGTTACGAATAACTCATAGCTACTGGTTCAAATGTTAGCTCAGTAGTTAAACACTCAATTCTAAAGCCTTCTGAGTTACTGAACTATTGCCATCTTGAATCGAGAGGAGAGTTTGCACACTTCACTCCTTTCCAATATAAAGGTTTGATCATCACATCTCAGTTGTGGCTCTCTTTGCTTCTAGAACCACGAGTTTGTGGATGAGCAGTATTATCAGCAGAGTTATTTGGAGGCAGGGCTGCAGAATTACCCGTCCCGAAGCCCCTCCCTATCCACCCAGGAAGGCATGACGGGGACGTGCTGCACCCGACGAAGCAAGAAGCACCACTCCCCTTTACCCAACGCCAGCGCTCCAGCACACATGCAGCCTCTGACACACACGCACCCACACAAACAAGGCCTGCAGGAGCTCAGCACCATCCACATCCAGCCACTCAGCACCAGGTATGGACCAGATCCAAACACTGACTTCAAATTCTGACAGCTGCTGCTCCTTCTGATGTTATCTGTTCACTCAGAGGAACAGCTTTGGATGAAATTTCTAACCATCTCACTGTGTATTGTGATGCATAATAAATTAACAACCCCCATCCTGTACCATTAGCTTACTTACCCACCATGTAACTAATGGCAACTGACAAGTGGTGCAAAATCCTAATATTGAGAGATCTGTCATTGTGAGAAGACTTTTGTTCAGAAATGCCTTTTTTGTGTGCCTGGTCATTCAAGTGGTGCTCGCTGCAAAACCACAAAGGCGGAGCTGCACCAGAAGGTCGAGCTGCACCAGAGTCAGCCCCGCCCATTCCAGATTCAGCCCCGCCCATTCTATCAGAGTCAGTCCAATTCCTTCCAGTTGTCAGACTTTATAGCATTCTGGAACCAAAAAGGGTGTTATAGCTAAAAAATGCAAGATTGAGGACGGAGTTGAGAAGTGAATTGAACAGTTTTTGTAAAGGTTCCATATAATTAAAAATCTAACTTTGGGAACTTTTTATCATGTTATATTGTCATTTCCTCATAAGAAACACGCCAAAGCCATTTTTGGCCTCATTCATGCATTTTCTTCCCATCTCAGCTTCAATTTGGTCTCCTCCCCCGAAGCGGGTCTGGTCTTGGTTCTCAAATCTGGATATTCTGTGAATTTTCTGACAAATTATTTCTGAAATGACTTCTACTGAGACACCGCCAGAAAAATCATACACCCAGTCTACAAAGACACACTGGATAGAAGAATAACATGTAACGCCACGCATGTTCTATAAGATGTGGTGGTGTAGTGGTTATAGTGTCTGGTTGAAATGCAGTTTTGCGCAGGTTCGCCTCCCAGTAGTGGAAATATTCTATAACCACTTTTCCTCATTTCTAGCTACACTTGCCAGTACTATGTTTACAACAATTTATTGGTATGCCGTTTAACATATAATGACTAATGTGTTTTTTTATTCATTCATTCGTTTATTTAGCCAGTGTGAGTCCATTTGTGAGCAGAGTTTCAACTAAAATGCTGTTTAGGAACGACCAAATTCAAAGAACTTGTAGAGACATAAATATTTTGCTGAAAATGAACATTACAACTAAAATATGAACAAATTAAATGTTTCAGCTGGCTAAATAGATTGTTGCCGACCCCACCGACAACCGAACCAGCATCAGCTGAGGGGAAAGCAAAACTTAAGTCATACGATCTTGCCACTGGACTACCAGAACCCACATAATGCCGTCAAATGTTGTTGTACAGGACTTTTGTTAGAGCGGCTATGGGCAGATATTCGCTAAAAGAAACCTTTTCATTTCGGGATATATTCAGACTTTGTCATGTAGCAAGTTATATTTACCTTGTTTAATTGGAGCATAGAACATAGCATTAACGACTGTAAACTAGTAACAGCCGTAATTCATGAGAGTCAGGTTAGTTTGCGATAAAGTTGAAAAACAAAAACGGAAGTCAGTGGGCTAGGCTGAGTTTGCGTGAATGGGCGGGGCTGACTCTGGTGCAGCTCCACCTTATGGTGCAGCTCCGCCTTTGTAGGTCTGCAGCGAGCACCCTCTCTGGTCATTTGAATCGTAAAGCATTAAGACTAAAACTAAAGATCTCAACCATTTTCTATGACTTTAAGCATCTGAGATAAAGCTGTTGTCTATTAACAAAATAAACAAGCACAAAGATGTCACATAAAAGCAAATGATATGTTTATGAAGTATTTATTATTCTACAAACACCATAAAAACACATCAGTGTCTACTCTTCCAAACACTGAGACTTGATTTATAGATAATATCAACTGAAAGTGACAAAAAGTTTTTGAAGAGGCATTTATTTAATTGGAAATTTTGTTTTCATCATTCAAAGATTCAGTTTGTTCTACAAATTAAAGTTAAATCACAAGGAAATTAATTTTAGTGTTAGAAACATTCAGAATTTTTTCAAAATAAACATGTATTTTTCCTTTTTGTCATTTGTTTTATACTGCTCAATTAGCAGCATCAAAAAGATGAGCAGATCTGCACTGATGGCTATTGATATTACAAGAGAATGGCTGTTTTAAAGGTATTAACAGTTCCTCAACCACAGCAGGCCTGAGACAATCTGACATCCAATCTGCTGAGGCTTTGTTCCTCTTTAAGCACAAACATTTTCCTGGGATTATCTTAATCTGTGATTTGCCATCATTTCTCCCACAGCCGCTCCAGTCTAAACATGCGCATAGATGAGCCAGCGCCTCTGAACTGCCAGAGCAGCCAGATCACAACAGCAGTCATCAGCATTCCCACACCGCCAGTGACGACTCCAGAGGGTGATGCTCATCTGCCCGCCGGCCCTGCCCACCAAAACGTTGTGAAGGTGTCCGCACTGTAAAGACGAGACGCCAGGCGCATCACACTACAAACAATGAAAAAAGACTCACTGAGAGAGTGAAAAGGAGGGAGGATAATGAAGGAGAGCACATCAGAGACCTTATTCTGGCCCTGGTGGAGCCTGCCCTCTGCTGTTCATGTGCTGTACTGGCATGGACTCCTTGTGCACAAACAAGACAGCTTTTAGATAAAAGTATCTTTGTTAGTGGTTGGAAAATGTGTGTGTTCATACGTGAATGAATGGAAGATGGTTTGGGAGTCATTAAAGATAAGGAGTAGCTTGAGTGTGAGCCCCCAGGAGTCGGAGGTATCTTCCCAGAGTAAGTCACGTGTTACTGTGCACAAAGCACCTTTTTTATCATTTATTTTCCAGTTTCACTTTTTTTCTTAGCAGGAAATAAAAGGAAAAAAGGGATGTTTTGAAAAGAGAAAAATAACTTACTAAGATATTTGTCCCAAAAAAAAATCCAAGCCTTTGACTATGATACTGCCCTTTTTTGTCATTTTGGTCCACTTATCGCTCAGCAGAATATGCCACCGATCCTTCCCAGGTCCAATAATATTTCACTTCAGCACCGGTCTCATACAATACAGTAGATGTCTGTGACGGCATTAACGACTGTCTGTGAATTTTAGATTGAGGTGTTATGTTTCTGAAAGGAGGTTGTGTGTGTGTGTGTGTGTGTGTGTGTGTGTGTGTGTGTGTGTGTGTGTGTGTGTGTGTGTGTGTGTGTGTGTGTCTGTCTCAGCCGATTGAAAACCTGTGTTTCAATCCTCCTGAAAGTCTCCGTATGTGATATCTGACTAGCTGCCACTCAGAATGGTTCATTGCACTTATTTATGTCCCAAATTCTCAGCTTAGAGACTTTTACATAATTTGTGCCTGTTCAGCCAGATTATAAAATTATTCTTTTTTTAATAATCTTCTGAGTTTCTCTTCATTTTAGCCTTTTTTTGCCTCTTGCAGCTTAGTTGGAGCTATGACACAATTTCTTTTATGAGGAAGCCAAAACAAATAGTTTGTTTTTGATCTGAAAGTCTACAACCAAAAGCACAAGATGTTTGCTGAGAATTTCTGACACGAATCTGCCCTGAGCCTGTGATACTTCTTGTGAATATTGTTAATAGAATATTTTGTAATATTTGACCATCGTTTGGCAGAACCAGTGAAGCTGTCCTCTTGTTCTCACTCTCCTCCCAACAACCTTCTCTTTCTTGTTGTTGTCCTGTTGTATCCCTGAGGTATGCTTTCGGTGAGTCCTTAATGCTGTCAACATTGATTTCTTACCCCAAAACTCAGCGAGCATTTTCCACAGTTGTTCAATATGTGTATTCTGTGAGGTTAGCAAACTTGGTGTTTGTACTTTTTGTCCTCCTTAGTGTTTTGAAAGATTTTTTTTAATCTTTGAGAGACTTCTAAGCAGGAAAGTCCAATATGATGGTGACCACAGAAACCTAGAAGATCTACATCATCGAAAAGACACAGTTTTATCTGTTTTTCCCACCAATCTGATGCCATTCTCTTTGGATTTTTCATCTTGAACATCACTTTAGGTCCATCAGCCTCAGAGACGGGTCTATTTAAAGAATTAAAACAGTGAAGATGAGCTTCGGTCATCACAGGAGCAACAAGAGTATCAGCAAGAAAGCAAAATAATCACAGAAAAATAAAATATGACCTTAAAAATATCAGTTAGAAAAAATTTCTGGATTGTGCGTAGCTCTTACCTTTATGCTAATGTGCATTTAACAGCTTAAGGGTAGAAGTTGTTTTTAGTCTGACAGTTCTAGAGGGTCCAGCAGCACTTTATGGTAGTTGTCTCTGAGGTAGGGGCTAGTGATGTGATCTCTCACCTTCCTGCAGGTCCACTTTGTCCTCTGCAGCATAGCCAAACTTAGCACAGAATTATGGACATTTGTGTTTTGTTGTCGTAACCATGTGTCTAGGATAAAAAACTAAATATACCACTGAAAACATGATGAGTCGCCTTTACAAGAGAAAACTTTGCAGAACTATGCATGGAATGGAATGAGCAACACAGCTAAAAGTGTGTGCAGTGACCCCAGAATGCCCTGTGATAATCTCGTTTGTTTTCACTTTTGTTTTGAGCTTCAAGTTTGTTCCAGTCCCAGGTTTATGACCCTTGGGCCCAATCGCAACACTCTCCCTGCACCCTACGCCCTTCTGTGAAGTGCACTTAGAGGTGCGCAGTAAGGCTTCAAGTGTGTAGTGCACAAGTGCGCCGAATTGGGACAGTGAGCTTTGTGTCATTTACCGCGACGCACGCTGGAATGCCGGTCGCTGCGAATCTTGATTAACAACTTAAACACATTAAATCTTAGACTAAAATATTCAGAGCATGAATATCATTCATTGTCCAAAAATTCACTTCTTTCATTTGAAAATACATATTTTCAGAAAAAGCACTTGTCATTTCTCTGCCTTCTTCTCAAAACCCCCATGCAGCAATGGGTAATACCCTTCCCTGAAGTCCGCATTGATTGCTTGGGTGAAGTGTAGATCAAGGGTGAAAGGGTCACCTTCCGCACTTGAGAATCGGGACACTCTACACACTCAGCCATGGCTGGGAACGCCCAAGCGCATAGCTTGATCGTGCTACATGTCCTAGAGCAGGAATTCCCAATCCTGGTCCTGGTCACGGCTCCAACACACCTGGTTCTAATCAGCAGGGGATTAACAGGTTTCTGCAGAACTTGATGACTTGCAGAACATGTAATTCAACCTGTAAATCAAGTGTGTTGGAGCAGGGGAACAACTAAAAAGGCAGTGTGAAAAGTGAAAACACAAGTGAATACTAACAAAAGAACATTTCTGGGGATTACGGCACCTTTTTGTTGACAACCACTCACACCTTTGACTATGTTGCTCATTCTGAAGAGGGATGATTTGATCAGTCAAGATGTCGGAAATTTAATTTCTCTCATCACCCATTCCTCCTGAACTTCAATAAAACGGCATAGACTGGGATACATGCACTAGTGGCTGCAGAAGAGTCTGGACAGAATGTGTTTCATGTCTGATTTTCCATAACAGTAATCTAATAGTTACTGGTAACTTATTCCTGTTAAGTGACACCAGATCCTGCATTTGTATTTTAGTCAAACTGTGTAATTTAGCACGGTTTTTTAAGAGACAAGCACAGATAGGCAGTTGTTTACATTTAATTTTAAGAGTTAGAATGAAGGAACTGACTTCCTATTCAGGGATAAAGTCTAATGTTTAGAATTAATGATAGGAGACTGGCAGAAGTGAGGCTTCCTGTGTTTTTCTTAGGACTCTGAACTCATTTCCTAACTATTCCACAACAGGTCATTCTGTGTCAGCTAAATTCTCAAATGATACAGTTTTAATACATGAGCTTATATGCTAAAGTTTCAAATAATTGTATTCTTGTTTATTTACAAAAGGCAAAACTAGGTTTGTGGTCGTCTCTCTGTTACGTACTCCCCTCCTCACCCTTTGCTTTGCCCTCCTATGCCACCTGTCGTTGTTGAGACTTACTGCTGTGTGTATCTTGTCAGGTGTTGGATATTATTTATGACCTTGTCTTGTGTCCCAACTGTGAAATGCCTGATAAAACATCTATATCTGCCACAAATACACTGTTTCTGGGTTGTTTTCCTTCATCTTTAAATTCCTGTGTGGTCAAGTGTCCACACAAAGCAGTGGCTTGTACAATTCAACAAATAGTAACACAGTGTAATCCATCCATCAATCCATCCATTCTCATCCGTTTCTCCAGGGTCGGGTCGCGGGGGCAGCAGCCTAAACAGAGAGGTTCAGACTTCTCTCTGCCCAGCCACTTAGGCCAGCTCCTCTGGGGGGATCCTGAGGCGTTCCCTGGCCAGCTGAGAGACATAGTCCCTGCAGCGTGTCCTGGGTCATCTCTTGGGTCTCCTCCCGGCTGGACATGCCTGAAAAACCTCACTAGGGAGGCATCCTACGCCTGAGCCACCTCAACTGGCTCCTCTCGATGTGGAGGAGCAGCAGATCTACTGAGTCCTTTCTGGATGACTGAGCTTCTCACCCTATCTCTAAGGGAGAACCCAGACACCCTGTGGAGAACTCATTTCGGCCGCTTGTATCCATGACCTCATTCTTTCGGTCAATACCCAAAGCTCGTGACCATAGGTGAGGGTAGGAACATAAATTAAATCGAGAGCTACGCCTCCCAGCTCATCTCCACTTCACAATGCCCACATCACTTCAGACCTAAAACTCGGTTTATACTTCTCCATGAGCTCTGCAACGGAGAGACGCACACGGAGTGTCTGAAAGGTTTTCACATTGCAAAACAATTCCCCGCCAGGACAACGGAGGACGTAGCACTGTTCTGTGGTATCTTGCCACCATAACACTCATGTCTCTGCTCCCCGATATTGTTTTTACTTATGCGTTTATATATTTCAGAGACTTTACGGACAAATCTGTCCTTCATTCTCCTCCACCTCTTCATGCGGTCGCCACCTCTAAACCCAAGTTTCCTGTAGTTTCCGTCCATGTTTGCGCCATATTTTGTACTCCTTCAGTCACGGGTGAATAAGTATTAATATTTTTGGACTTTTTCCGCGATGCGTTCTTCAATCTGTTCTGGGTCTGCCGCTAAATATCTGTTTACTTTTTAACGGACCTACAGGGGTGCCGGTGACGAATACACAGGAAGCATCATCCTGACCAATCACAAACTTGCGGTCTCCGTCACTTTCGACGGATGTTTAAAATTTTGGCCATGTCTCCGTCACCCTCTGTGATCTCGTCGCAGAGCCCTTGCGCCGACGCATAATGGCGTTGCGTGTCTCCGCGCAGACTGAGAAGGATAAATCAGGCCTAACCCTAATCAAAACGTGCTGGATACCAGCCCTCAAGGCCCGGAATTGAATACCAATGATGTAAAGGTTAATAAAACAGCACCTCTATAAAAATTTTGAGACTGTAGTTTTTAAGCAGTTATACTTTCATCTTGGCCCTGCTGCAAACATTTAATTCGCCCATCTACTCAGAATACATCTCTCTTTCTTCAAACTGAGGTCACTCAAAGAGCTGTCTAGAAGACTCACAATATTCCTGGCTTTACAACAGAACCCTATTTCAAAAGGCTTGAGCTATTCCTAATGAATCATCCATCCATTTAACAACGAATGAACGTATTAGCCAAAGGACTCAATTTTGCCATTGCTCCGCAACAGTTGCCCATAGTGGACCTCATCACAGCCACTGAAACTGCCATACGGATCAACAAATTATCTCAGACGGAAGCAGAACAAATCAGAATGAAAGTCTCAGCCACCCTCTCCAATGCCAAAGTCCCTCCGCCTAACCTCACGTTACAAGAAAAGAAGGCAGTCGCATCACTGAGCAAAGACCACACCATCACTATATTGCCAGCTGATAAGGGAAGGTGCACCGTGGTCCTAAACACAACAGATTACCACGCAAAGATCACTACTCTCCTCAGTGACAACAACACCTACAAAGCCTTAAAGCGAGACCCCACAAGCAGCTACAAAAAGAAAGTTATAGCTTGCCTTCAAGGCCTTGAAAGGGACAAAACCATCAACCGCCTAACATATCACCGCCTTTATCCAGGAGATGCCATACCCTGCATCTACGGACTTCCCAAGATCCACAAGGAAGGTACCCCTCTCAGACCCATTGTCAGTAGCATAAATTCAGTCACCTACAACATTGCAAAACACCTTGCTACTATCCTTGCACCTCTAGTGGGGAACACCCCACACCACATCAAGAACTCCACCGACTTCACTGACAAGGTCCAGAAACTTACCCTGGATCCAGATGAAGCCATGGTGTCCTTTGACGTAGTCTCCCTCTTCACTTGCATACCCACTACGGAGGCAGTGGAGACTGTCAGAAAACGACTACAAGAAGACAACACCTTGGAGGGCAGGACCAACTTCACACCCGATCAGATTTGCACACTGTTAGACCTCTGCCTCACCACTACATATTTCAAATACAACGAAGGTTTCTACAGA